CCTACCCTTTTCCCTCCCCAAAATTTACTAGAGACACTAAACTTACTCCCCTTTCTCCTCTTCCTCTCTCCTCTTCTTTTTCTCTCTCTCCTCCCCATCTTCTTGTGTCTTTCCTACTCTCTTACCTCTCTGTATTTGTTTCCCCCTCCTGCTTCTTTTTCTTGTTTACTTAACATTTTATAATTCTTTAATCCCCCCTCCTCTCCCCGCTAACCCCCTTTTCTGGTTTTCTGGTTCCCTCCCGGCAGTTCCTGGTGAGTTAACTACTACTACTGCTACTACTACTACTACTACTACTACGGACCCCAACTGTTTTGATCTGCACGCCTTCCGGGGCCCTGCAAGAACCATGCCACCGTGCCTCTTTGCTCCCCCTCAAACCCTCTACCTTTGTCGTCCACCCCCCAAGCTGCCTGCAATTATCCTCTGCACTTTCCTCTGCCATTGAGACTCCCCAACAGTCCTGTGTTGCGTGATCCTCTCCGTTGCGCTGTGGTCTGCGGAGTTGCCAGAAAAAAAAGGAGACCCGCCTCGGCTATTCCGTCGCAGCTTCCCTCCACGAGGCCAACTCTCTGAAAAGTGCTTTTTTTCTCCTCCCCAGGAGACCCTCTTTACATAGTCTTGCCCCCCTTTACCTGTTGCTCTTTTTCTTTTGGTTGCATCATTCCAATATCTATTGCTCTCGCACCAACGCTTCCCCGCCCCCTCCATCTTGGGGATCTTGCATACGTCTTTGCTTCTGCTAGTCGGATCAGCTAACGTGGACGCTCCCAATTCGTTAGACTGCCTCATTAAGTTCAAACCACGCCTAACGCTGCGAACCTTCCTCCTTCCTACACACCAATCTCAGACGAACTCCTTCTCCACAGCATGGCGTCCATAGAGGAACCTGTCACCCCAGTTGCTCCTGCGGAGGTGGAGCCGGAGATCGCGCCCCCTGCGACTCCGGTCGATTCAACCATCCTCTCGGGCAGCGAGGAGCCCGTCACGAGCCCGGATGTCTCCAAGGACAAGGAGAACGTCAAGACCTCTCCGGTCAAGAAAAGTCCCTCCTCCACGACCAGCACTAGGCGTCCCTTGTCCGGATCGACCACCACCACCACCAAGCGTCCCACTTCCATGTCCGGGCCTTCCAGAACTACAACTTCGACCACACGCTCCGCCGCGACCAACGGCAGCACCCTGAACAGGCCTCCGACCCGGCCCGCGACTACCACCACGGTCCGCAAGCCCCTGAGCTCTACCACCACCACCACAGCCGGCCATCGGTCGCGCGCCTCCGTCAGCAGTTCCGCAGACGAAAAGTCCCACCGGTCGGTGGCCAGCTCCGGAGATGAGAAGCGTGGCATCTCCAGCACCGCCGCCAAGCGCATGTCGCTGGTTGGTACCTCGGCCACGAGAGCACCCGTCAAGTCCACTACTTCCACTCTGGACCGACGTTCCAGCATTGCGGGCTCGACTACGGCGGAGAAGAGAACATCTACCACTCGCCCTAGCACGGCCTCCACGGTGCGGCCCCTGACCAAGCCGGCTACCACCACCTCGACTTCTCGTCCGACTACTTCCTCATCCGCCACTACTCGTACCACCACCCGACCCACGTCTACGGTGACGAGGCCAGCGACGACCGCCTCCAAGAGGTTGAGCACCGCCCCCAAGGGTGCCGAGGAAGACTCGGAGAAGTTGCAGTCACTTCAGACCAAGCTGGCCGAGAGCGAAGCCACGGTGACTAGCCTGAAGGCGGATTTGGACGCTGTCAACCTCAAACTGACCGAGCTGTCTCTCGCCCCGAACGATTCCTCCGAGAATGCCGATGAGGCCACCAAGGCGCTCCGTGAGCAGCATACCGCCGAAATCGAACAGCTGACCGCTGTCCATCAGGAGCAGCTGCAGGCGTTGCGTGCCCAGTTGGAAGATGTCGAGGCGAAGCACAAGGAGCTGGAGGAGAAGTCGGTCCAGGAGTTGGATGACGCCGCCAAGTCCGCTGCGGCTCAGGGTGATGACCAGACTGCTGCGGCCCTGGAGGAACTGAAGCAGTCGCACCAAGCGCAACTGGAAGCGCTGGAGAAGGATCTTGCCGAGCAGAAGGCAGCAGCTGCCGGATATGCCGAGCAAGTCGACTCTTTGAAGGCCGAGCTTGACCTGCAGAAAGGCCAGCTGACCGAGGCGAGTGCCAACCTGGACAAGACCCTTGCGAAACTGGAAGATCTCCAGCGTGAGCTCAATGGACGTGACCAGGTGGTCGAAAACTTGCACATGGAAATGGACCGGCTGGACCAAGCCAAGCAGCAGGAGATTCGGGCCGCCGAGGAGGCTGCCAAGCATGCCATTCTAGCCCTGGAGGACAAGGTGACATCGCTCGAAAGCCAGCTTGCCGCTGCGGGTTCTGCGACCAGCGAAGGCAACGAAGAGACGGCCGCCCGCTTGGCCGAGAAAGACCAGGAAATTGCCGACCTCAAGGACGCGTTGGAGAAGGCGCACGTGGAACTGGAGCAGGGCCGCCAGGATGCGGAAGCCCAGATCGCAGAGAAGACCAAGGAGCTGGAGACCGCTCATGAGGCCGCCGTTGCTCAGCTCAAGGCCGAACATGAGGAGGCCCTGGCCGCCGCTGTTGAGGGCAAGGTTGGCGACAAAGTCAAGGAGCTTGAAGCTGCCCATGAGGCTGCCATTGCGGAACTGAAAGCCACCCATGAGCAAGCCCTCTCTGCGGCCGCTGAACGTGGACTGGGCGACAAGGTCAAGGAGTTGGAAGGCACCCACGAGGCCGCCATTGCTCAACTCAAGGCCGAACATGAACAGGCCCTGACTGCGGCGATCGAGAGCAAGGTTAGTGAGAAGCAGAAGGAGCTCGAAGCCGCTCACGAGGCCACGATCGCGGATCTCAAGGCTAGTCACGAACATGCACTTTCTGCTGCTGCTGAGAACGGGCTTGGCGACAAGGTCAAGGAGCTGGAAGCATCTCACGAGGCCGCCATTGCCCAGTTGAAGGCTGCCCATGAGGAGGCGTTGGCAGCTGCCGCTGCAGCTCACGCGCAGGAACTTGCCGCTGCGAAGGAGGCCGCTGAGTCCGCTGGAACCTCTCACGCCCAGCAACTCGAGGAACTCCGTGCGAAGCTCGAGGAGGCCGAGTCTGCTGCTGCCGAGGACAAGGAGGAGCTGATTGCCGAGCTTGATGCCGCCCACCAAGCCGAGATGCATGCTCTGAACCAGAGACTGGAGGCTACCGAGCAAAACCTTGCGGAGGCCCGTCAAGCTCTCGAGAAGGGCAACAGCTCTGCTCAGGATGTCGCCATCCAAGAGATCGAGTCCCTCAAGGAGAAGGTCGGTGCTCTGGAGTCCCAGCTCTCCACCGGACAGGGCGAGATCAAGTCTCTACAGGACGAGATCCAGAGCAAGCAAGGGCAGGCGGAGGCGCTGCAGCAGAGCCTGGATGCCTTCGAGGACAAGACCAAGGCCAAGGATGCTGAGCAGGAAAGTCAGCTCAAGTCTTTGGAAGAGAAGGCCGCCGTTGCCGGCCGGGAGCTGGAGGAGAAGGTCAAGGAAGCCGCTGTTGTTGCCGAGCAGCACGCACAGGCGCTCGAGTCCCTGAAGGCCGAGCACGCTGTCGCGCTCGAGAATGTCAAGACCAATGCTAGCGGTTCCCACGAGCAGGCGCTTAGCGAGCTGCAGTCCAAGTATGAGGCGTCCATGTCCACCCTTCGTGACATGGAGTCCAAGCACGCTGAGCATATCGAGTCTCTTGAGGCCGAGCTCCGGTCCGCTCTTCAGCGCCATGCCCAGGAGATCGCTGAGCATACCGAGACCCGTGCTAAGGAGGTTGCCGAGCTTCAGCAGCAGCATGAAGAGGCCAAGGCCCAGTTCCAGGCTGAACTGCAATCCCTCCAGACGTCTCGGTCCGCTGAAACTGATGCTGAGCACAGCAAGGCGATCGAACAGCTCCTAACCATTCAGGATGAGAAGCTTTCCGGCCTTAGGGCTGATCTGGAGGCCACCAACCAGGCCAAGATCGAGGAGCTTCAGAAGACTCACGACGCCGCCCTTGCGGAGGTCCACGCCCAGCTGGCCGAAGCTCACGCCGCCGCTCAGGATGTTTCGGTCCTTGAGAGTCTGAAGCTGACCATTGCTGATTTGGAGAAGAAGCTGAACGAAGCCGAGCAGTCTGCTGCGGAATCCAAGGAGCTCGCGGGCAAGCACAACGCCGATCTCTCTTCCATCCTTACGGAGAAGAACGAGTTGGAGCAGCAACACCAGGCCGTGAGCAGCCGGGTGGCGGAGCTCGAGCAGTCCCTTGCTGCTTCGGAGAGCGCCAAGTCGGAGCTGGAAGCCGTCCTGCAACAACTTGCCGCGTCCAAGGACGAATTGTCCAACCTGAAGAGCCAGCACGAGACCCTGTCGAGTGAACTCCAGGCGTGCAAGACGGAGAACCGGGCCATGGAGGAGAAGTTGGAGCAAGGCGAGCGCGATCTGAACAGCCAGATTGACAAGAACATGTCCCTCCTCAACCAGCTGGGCGAGGTGGACTCGTCGATAGCGGCCAACCGCAAGCGGGTGCGCGAATTGGAGGCCGAAGTGGCGGCATTGAAGGCCGAGAAGGATACGCAGGGCGGATCGGTCGGGCTGGAGGGTAGCCGCTGGGCGGGCGAGAAGGAGGAGGCCGCGGAAGGTGAGGATCTTGGCTCATCCATCCAGGGAACGGTGGGACTGCCCCGTTTAACTTCGTCCTCTACCACAGGACTTCCCCACTTTCATCCCTTTACCTGACAACGGCCCGTTCCCTGACCCGGCATGGTTACTGACTGGCATGGTTTTGGTAGATGGCAAGCATTCAGGAACAGCTTAAGCACATCCGGACGTCCAACGATGACTGGTATGACGAACACCGACGGTAAGACCCCTCCTTCTGGCATGTGTGGAGGGCTTCGATTACTGACTATGTCTTAGAATCCTAGGCGAACTGGCGGAAATGTCGCGCCGGGCCACGCCTAACCCACACAGCCAGTCTACGACGCCGCAGCCGGAGAAGGCGAGCAGTGCGTCGGAGCAGGGTGCGGACGAGGGATCCTCGTGAAGGAATGTTGTATGACCAGTGGGGAGGCTATGAATAGAGGGGACGAAGATTTCCTTTGTCGCGGCATTTTTCCTTTGTTGTATCGGCATAGGCTGTATGTAATAAGATGCTCGGGATACCCCTGTGTGCGCGTTTCTTGTGATTGCAACCGACGGGTGCATCGACATCCCTTGCGGCCATTTCTGGGGATCCCATTGGGCTAGCGACGTTGCACGAATTTATTGATTGATTCTTGTCTTATGCAGTGCAGCGTGGAATTAGTCTAATTGTAGTCGGGGTTGGCAGCCTTGCTGGTTCGGCGGCGCATGCGCGTCCACCCCACCCGGAGTGCAGTCCACCACGCATGTCGCTGATCCTCGTGGTGCTCCTGCTGCTTCCCATGCTGAGGTTGTCTCGCCGCCCGACGCGACTGTTCATATCGAGCCGGCGTGAGGATCCTCGCGGGGGGAGACACCCGCAGCGGTACATCTTCAGCATTGCTGCCACTATCCTGCTCCTCATCCGACTCCCGTAACCAATGTAGAATCTCCCTCTGATCATCACTGCACGGAATAGCGCTGTCACCATCACCATCACCATTTCCCTTTCTTTCTTCCTCCTTTGTATCGTCCACACATTGTCCCCCTCTTCCTCCCTTTTCCCGCAAACACCTCTCCTCCAAACACCCCTTCTCCCCCTTAATCACAATCTCCTTCACCGGCCGAACACCCTTATCTCCATCTTCCTCCTCCTTTTCCCCCTCCTGATACAGGAAACTCTCCTCCGTCCGCCCCTCCGTAAACGCCTCACAATACTCCGCATACGAACTCGTCAGCTGCTCATGCGAAACAGTCGGCGGGGGGATATGTATCTCCGATACCGAGGATGAATATGTCGATGATGACGATTCCTCGATGGTTTTGGATCGTGGGGATAGGTTGAATAGTGTGCTGAAGTTAAGGCTTAGAGGGGAGAGGGGGGAGAGGGGGGAGCGTGAGCGGATTTTGTTGTTGTTGGTGGTGCTTGAGGGGGAGGTAGGGCTGGTGGGTGGGGGTGTGATTGGGTTAGTAGAAACCAATGGATGGGCTGTGGGTGTGCCTGTGTTGGTAGTGGTGTTTATGGATGTAAGTAGCGACGTAGGTGTAGGGGTATGTGTATCGTCTGGGTGGATTGTTCTCGTCTTGGTTTTGGATTTGGAGGAGCGGCGGGGGAGGGTTACTCTTCTGTAGAGACGGGTTGTTGTGCTGTTGCTGTTGCCTGTGGTGTTGGTGTTGGTGGTGTTGATGGTGGGTTTTGGGGTAGGTCTGCGGGTTGGTTTTGGGCGTGGGGAGGAGGAGCGATGATGGGATGATGAGGTTGAGGTTGAGAAGGTGAGCCAGCGGCGGAGGGTGGTTGTTTTATTCTTTGGGGTTGTGGTGGTGGTGGTGGTGGTGGTGTTGGGGAGGTCGTCTTTGAAGGTGACGGTTGCCATTGTGATTGATAGTATGAATGTATCAATAGTATTGATTAGTTGGGTTGAGAGAATGGCTATGTGTTATGGTGAGAGTACGAAGTAGAGAAAGAAGGAAGGAAAGAAGAAAGAAATTTTCAAGGGATAAAGAAAGATAATATGGTGGTAGTAGTTGAGATTTCATCCAAGGAGTCAGAAGCCAGTCATTCAGGTCAGCCACCAAGCAAACAAAGCAATCATGTATTCCTAGCCAAGCCAAGCATCAAGGGTCTACTTATTATTTCATTGACCTCGTGATAGTCGCCAATATTAGCATAGCAGCACTAAAGTATTCTCAGTGGCTAGGGTTAGGAGGGAGTCAATAAGAGTCTAGACTGGTTGATCTCCCGACAGGGATAAAGAACAGATGCCTAAATCAAGGGCAAAACCGGGTTATCGTATACCTTAATAAGAAGTCAGCAGCACCACCTTGCTTTCTATCCCGCCAATCGCAGGGGCTGGCATGCTGCAGTTTGTCTTGGTAGGTTTCATCCCGCCTCCCCTCTTTCATTAACTGGGGGTGCAGGTGCAGGTAGGCAGAGTATGCATCTCACATGCAGAAAGCATTAACGGTGCGGTCAAGGTGGTACTGGCGCTGCGTTTGTGCCACTGCGGCATACTTACCGGCATATTGTAGATTAGGCTCGCGTGGCATACCATTGTATTGAGTGTATCGTGCGGTGCAGATAAAGTAGGTTGCGAATTGCTGAAATATCATTACAGGGATATCTATTGCCTATGTCACTTGTATCTGAATAATATACATACACATGACCAATGAAATTACTCAGAGACACCATCGCGTCCCAATCCCCAGCGACCCACTTCACGCATGGCTTCGTCGCCGCCTTCGACGAGTCGGCCATCCGCGTTGGCGGGATGGGCGCTGCCCAGCACGCCCGCCACGCAATTCCAGCCGTTGCGGCCACCGCCCCAGCGCAGCACTTCATTCTTGTACCGCTCACCGGCCCGGCGATCCACCGCCGCCTTGCCCTGCTGGAACACGTCCTCCCACAGCTTGTTGGCGATCGCCCGGTCGAAGATGTAGCTATAGTAGGTGGCGCCGTAGCCGTGCAGGTGGCCGAAGAAGCCCTGCCACGAGGTCGGGGGCTTGGTATCGGCCGGATCGGGGAGGGTGCAGTGCTCCGCAGAGACCTGGTGGAAGACTGCCGTGCTATCGATGGAGGCGGCCTGGCCGGCAGGGAGGGAGTGGTATGCCTGGTCGACCAGCGCCATCAGGATCTGCGACTCGTTCTCCATCGCGCCGTAGATAGACCCGTGCGCCGTGCGATCCTTCTCCATGTGCTGCATCATGCTCTCCGACAGAGGAGCATCTGTCTCCCAGTGACGGGCGTACAATGCCAGCACTTCGGGAGCGGTTGCGAACCGTTCCATCAGCACCGACGGCAGCTCGGCAAAGTCGGTCGCGCATCTCGTTCCCGAGATAGACTGCAGCCGTGTCTGCCCCAGAATCGAGTGCAGCGCGTGTCCCATTTCGTGGAACAGGGTACGCACGCTGTGCTCGCTGAGCAGGGACGGGCGACCCGTTCCTGTCGCAGGCGGCTCGGGGAAGTCACACACCAGCGCGATCGTTGGCAGCTGGCGGAGCGTCTTGGCGTCGCGGTCAACGGCCGTGGCCATGCCATCGTTGGGGTGGGCGGAAGCATCCATCGTCGTGGCGCACTCGGCCACCTCCTCCGCGGAGATCTCACGTGCACACCGCAGCGTGTAGTGGGCCGGGTTGGGGTGCTTGTTGGGGCGGGAGAACAGGTCACAGTAGATGACAGCAATGTGGCGGTCCGCCTCATCGACCACGTCCAATCGGCGCACATCCGAGTTCCAGGTCTCCCCGGCAGCCGTTTCCTGGGGCACCAGCCGAACGCCGTAGAGTCGATCGAACAACCGAGAGAGTCCCTGCATGACCGTGCCCAGGGAGAAGAACTCGGGCACCGCACTGAGCTCCCGCGACCGGCGCGACTGCGAGTACTGCAGTACCCGTTGATGGACATAGTAGGCGTGATCCCATGGTTGCAACCGACCAGCGGATCCCTTCATGCTCTGCAGCTGCGCCAGCTCCTCCTGCACGTAGGGTCGGTTACTGCCCACCAGCGAGGTCAAAAAGTTAGACACAGCCTCAGGGGACTTGGCCATCTTGTCGCTCAGCGTCATGTGGGCGAAGCTGTCGTAGCCCGAGAGCTGAGCCAGCTCGGCGCGCTTAGCCAGCAGCTGCTCGAGCCGCTGGATCTGGCGGGCGCTCGACGTGCGTGTAGCCAAGTAGACCTCCCGCCGCACGCCCTCGTCGTGGACGGACCGCAGCGCCAGGCGCGGAATCAGGCCCATGCTGGGCACGGAGGCCGTCCGGTTCCACCGCTTGATCTGCTGCACGAGGATGGGGTCGAGGCCGCGCAGGCTGTTGGCGCTCACGGTCACGTGCGACTTGGCCGGCTCGGCGGCGTTGACAAAAGTATTTCCCAGTTGGCTGATATCATTGGACAGGTTGACGAAACGCTGTCGCGCATGCGGGGGCATGTGAATGGCCGAGTTGGAAAAGTCCTTGATGAGGATCTGGGCGACGATCTTCTCCTCGTCGGACCAACGGGCCGTAACCTCGGGATTGGCGGCGGCCTTCTTCAGCTGGTCGTTGAGACCGGTAGTCGTATTCAAGACGTTCATGTACTCGAACATGAGGGCGTACGCCTGCGTCGCGGCCTCCTGCACGCGCGGATCGGGATGGATGACTCGGATAAAGTCCGATAGGTCGATGACTCGACACAGCAAGTCGCTGAGGCGGTCGAGATCGCGGGCCATACTCCGGTAATCCTCCAACGTTGTACCGGCCAGCACCTTGGCCACGATGGCCTGGCACTTCTGCAGGGTGGTGGTCGCAAAGACGCGGAAACCATCGGGACTGGTCAGGTACTGATTTTGGACCAGACCGGTAGGTTTGAGGTGGGCAGCACTGCGCTGGCTGAATTCGCGCCAGAACGGCTGCGAGTCGAAGACGCGGCGCAGAGTGTCGTCATCGGACTTCTTTTGGGCATCGTTCTTACTCGGAAGGTAATCGAAGGCTGTTCGATGAGTCGCCGGCGAGGCGGCCGTCTCGAGCGAGCGACGGGCCTGCAGCAGACAGGTCCTGCAAGTCCACGGCCGACGCCGGAGTGGGAGCAGCAGAGGAGCTCCCATGATGGCGTTCAGGGGGAGACAACGGGAAAGGAAGTCGACATGGAGATTATACCATGAGTAGGATAAATAATGGTAGAAATTAAACCACACGAGACGGTGGTGGAAGATTAAAAGGAGAGTGAGGGGAAAGTTAAGAGAAAGAGGGAGGAGAGAAAGAGAAGCGGACGATGACGGAGGCTCGAGCCGCAAAGCCGCCAAACTCACGAAAAAAAAGGCTTGGCGGCCGACCTCAGGCCGTCATTCCATCTTGAACCTCCAACTTAGCCTCTCTCTCTTCCACCTCCCTCCCTCACTTCTTCCCTCCATTGGCCTCCCCCATCATGTCTTTCCGGCCAATGCTGAAGCAGGTAAATCCCTCAGCTCCTGTTTCTTCCGTCTGCAACTTGAAGTTCCCGCTAACTTTTTCCAGCGGGCTGTGGCCCCCATCGCGGCCACTCTTCTGGCTGGCGGTATCGCCCTCTACCCCCGGCAGACGGCTTTTGCAGAGGAGCCTCGCGATGCTGTACGTCCTCGGAATATCCCTGCTTGCTTTCGCTCGAATCCGCTTCTGACTTGATATCGCGTCCAGAAAAAACCCATCTACGATGACTTCCCGACCGAGATCCCGGCCGTCTCCAAGCCCGTCGTCTCTCCGGCCCCGACCACCACCACCCCGGCAGCTCCGGTGTCCACTCCCTTCTCCTCTCCCTCTTCCCCTACTCCCACCGACATCCTGACCGCCCAGGTCCGTCAGGCCCGTCTCTTCCTGTACGAGAACTCCCTGGCCGTCGAGACCAAGTTCAACAACTTCCTGTCGCGTGCCCTGCACATCGAGAACGCCTTCACCAACACCGTCGCCTCCCTGGCCCCGTCGCCCGAGTCCGGCGAACGCCTGCTCCCCGGCGGAGTCTACGTCGTTGTGGCTGCCATGGCCGGTTCCATCGTGTCGCGGAACCGCGGTATCCTCCTGCGCACGGCGTCCCCGCTGGCCTTCGGTACCGTGGCTGCCTGGACCCTGCTGCCCGTGACCATGCGCAACGTGTCGGATCTGGTCTGGGAGTACGAGAAGCAGGTGCCGGCTGTGGCGGACACGCATCTGCAGGTGCGCGAGAAGGCCGAGCACCTGTGGTACACGGGGATTGCGCACAGCGGTATGGCGCGGGCCATGATGGAGGAGAAGATCGGAGATGTGCGGAAGAAGTTGGAGGAGGTGGTGAGCAAGGGTCATTAAATTGGCCACTGGGTCCGTGTTTCAGAATGGGTTGATTTGATCTAGTTCTTGCATATGTACTTTAAGTAGACGAATGAGCGTTTACTATGCAGTTTTAGGAGACAGAGTAAGGTAAAGCACTGTTTACACTGCACTACATTCATTGTTCCTTATTTCATATCAAAGTCAGTATTATGAGTGACATTTACCGAGTGCAGCGTTAGATAGTATGCTCGATTTAGTACTAGTATTAGTAGTAGTGCTATAACCGAACAATATGCCAAGAAACAGCTTAGTATACTAGTAGTGCTACTATATTGATCGACATAATATATTTCGATACCATCATACTCCCAGTGAGACATAAACATCATCACTCATAACCCATCACTTCATAAAAGTATCATACCACACCCACACAACCTCATCCATCAAAATCCCTAACATCCACCAAACACACCTACACACTCTCCGCCCTAACTACTCTCCTCCACCTCCCCCTTCTCCACCCACTTCCCATCACCATCTCCCTTCTGCTCATCCTTCTTTCCTCCAACCATCATCAAACCACACCTAAACCAACATTCACATTAGCCAATAATAACTTACTCAACCAACCATCCGAAATCTCAAGAATCGTAAACTTACAAAACCGCTGCACCAAACCAACCAACCCACCCGACCACCAACCCGGCAACCCCCCTCCCATCATCCGCATAAACCAAACTCTCCTCGCCCAAACCCTCATCTAAATAGACAGTAACACGCGGGCCCACGTCCCCAAAGGACATCTTTCTGGTAGCCAGGATGACCGTGAAGGCGAGGAGACTTGTCGTGAGAAGGAGGGTTGCGAGGGATGTAAGTGCTTTTTGGATCCATGAGGGGTTGCTGATTGACTTTGTGAAGATGAATCTAGGGAAGAGAAAGTAGATCGTGATAAATGTCAGGCAGGTCAGGATCGTCGTGAAGATATGGTAGGATGTTGTGGCGATGATGGCGGTGTCGTGGATGATGACCTTCGGCACGAGGGATGTTACGGTGTGCGCGAGGTGGAGGTGGGTCGTTAGGGTGTAGGTTGTTAGGGAGAAGGAGGTGAGGAGGAGGAGGGTGGTGAGGGTTGTTATGGTGGATGTGAGTGTGGTTGGGAGGTGGGGAGGGGACATTGTGGTTATGTGTGTGTGGGTTGATGCTGTTGATGGGTTTGGATGGGTGGTTGGGTGCGGGGATGATGGGCTGATATTTATCCCATGGTGTTTTTGCTACTGGGAAGGGGGGATGGTTGGTGGAGGTGGTTTAAGCTACAGACATCGGAAATTTATCAGTGGTTGATCAGGGTCTTGTCAAACCCGGTGCACCAAATTGAGCTTACGGTGGTGATGGTGGACGAAGATGGGAGAGGAGAGAGGAGAGAGTCAAAGAGACTAGTATGTTTTGAGGGGGAGTTTGCGAGTATTCGGGATGCTCGGGCGTATGATTGGCCAATACCCATAGAGGAGTAGAGTGCCGAACCCGTGAAGAGGATGAAATGGTGGGTGATTTGCTATCTTATCGATCTTATTCGTTTAGGGTATGATTAATTGGTTGTGGTGGATTGGCTTACTGGTAACTAGATATCGACATATTCATTTGTCAAGATAATCAGGCTGGCACCCACCGCAACTGCACCTCCCGAAGCTCCCTCACCTGCAGCGTCAACTTTGATATCGAGTCCTCCATCTGCTGCTGCAGATTTTCTTTCTGCATCGGCTCGCACCGCGCGTGCCGGAACAGGGTCGCCATCGTCCCCACAAATTCCACCTCCGACATCTTCATGCCCGGACATATTCTGGGCCCTCCCGACCACGGAATGAACGTGCCCTTCGCCGGGGTCACCACTTGACCGGCGTCGTCGATCCACCGCGTGGGCCGGAACTCATCCACGTCCGCTCCCCAAACATTCGGGTCCCGGTGGATGCTCTGCTGCGAGACAAACACGTCCATCGGGGGCGTCAGCACGTGTGTGCCGTCAGCATCGGCGACCTGCTGCGTTGTGATCACGCAGCGTGTGGAGTGGAGGACAGGTGTGAAGAGACGGAGGGTTTCATACTGACAGGGTTAGCAGTCATTCCTTTTTGCTTTTTAGTGACCACGTACCATGACAGCCAGCACTCGTGGGCATTGAGAAAACACATCGTATCCCCAAGACGAAACATCGGCGTCCAACTGCGACAACTCCTCCCGCACCCAGTCCTGCCACTGGGGATACTGTGCGAGGAACATCACAGCGTATCCCATTGTGTTGGCTGTCGTGTCGAAGCCAGCGGCGGTAAAGAGAAAAAGATTGCCGCTGATTTCTGCCTCTGACAGAAACAGCTTCGCAGAGCTCTCCGTTCCGTGTTGCGCATATCGCACCAGCATATCTAGCAGATTGTGGCGCTTCTTAGACACCTCACTCGATTTAGTGTTTCGCTCCTCGCCCAAAATCTCTCTGACATATTCCGGCACCTTTAACATCTGGCGACCCAGTCGACGAATCGACTCGGGCATGAATGGCATCACCTTCAGCGAGTTTGGGATTAAGACCGCCTCCACGAACCGGTCCGTGACCATGGCAATCGTCTTGAAGTACGATACTCTGGCGTCCTGCCAGTCCTGCCCCAGAGTCTCGACAAAGTCAGGTGACCATGGCTGGTTCTGTCCGTACCCAGCCTGGCCGAGAACGTTGATGGCGATACTGCGAAGCCCGGTCAATGTCTCGCCGCCAGGATGCTGCAGGAGATACTCGAGCATAGCACGGGCCTGGCGACAGGCCTCTTCCCACACCTCACCCATGATGGCTTCGTTGAGCTGGGGAGCGATGATGCGCCTCTGGCGGGTCCAGTCTTCACCATTGGATTGAACTAAGGTTGGTCCGAAAAAGCCCATAAATTTGGCTACGACGTCGGGCTGGTCGAAATCCTTGCGTCGCTGCAAGACGGTTGCGCCAACGGTCGGGTCGGCGATCCTTTGAGGGGTCAGAACGATACCAGATTGAATGGACGAGGGTCGATGGACTACCATAAAGAGCACTCATCAGGCGAGACAATGGCAAAAATCTTGCCATACCGACGATGCATAGCATTCTTGTGACGAAATTCCCAGCCGTGGATGTGGATATCCAGATGTTCGTAGAGCCATGTGGGAAGATAGCGCTTCAGCTGTACCTGAAAGGTCGGACCCACGATCTGCCAGAGTGTATGGCGCGTGAACAGAGGGGTCACGACTAGGGGATAGCCGCTGCGACGACCGATGATGTAGAAGCGGATAAAGGAGAGAAGTTTGTAGAGGAGATAGATTCCGGCCAAGATGGCCAGGGCGGTGCGCAGGCTGATCTCCGCCATTGCCGATCGGGCTGACGGCGTTGGGGAGCTGCAGGGGGGAGAAGGAGAATGTAATAGTGAGACACAAAACGGTGGTTCTGGAAAGTGTCAGCGACAATGACAGCTGAGCTACTTATATGTGCATGAATCAGAGGCGGTAAAATTAACTCAAAGGAAAGCGTGTCAGCACTAAGGCTTGCCTGGGTGGGAATCCTGGTGGGAATCCTGGTGTGGTTCCTGGATTGGGATGGGTCAGATCTTAGTACCTGATAAGTACGTATTTCCTTTGTCCAGATCACTATTTCTTTTCCCAGGGGGCCCAATTACTGGCTTATACAGGATCAGGGTTGCGATAGTTGGAGCAGCGGTGGTTTGGCCAATCGAAGAGCAAGCATTCTTAAGGCTGGTTCCGCGATCGGGTTACTTTACCATCTTTCGATCCACATACTTACTACTAGTACTCTTCTTCTATTCTCCATTCATCGAGCGGATTACTTATCATCGATTGATACCCAACATCTTCTCGACTATTTACTACTACTTAACCCTAGTAGTACTTGCTATTCCCATGATGAACAGCCGGGATGTGTTGTGATTGGCCATTGTTAGTGGCGGCACAAAGCACTGCCTTCCTTCTTCATCTCCCCCACACACACCACAGCCTTGTCACTGTGTTGTTGTTTCCTCCCTTTTCTGATTCTGCATCCCTTTCATCTCCCCTGAAGTGGTCGATGTATTGCCACTTGTTCCGCAGCTCGGGTCCACGATGACCACCGCTCTCACCAAAGCTGCGAGACTGAAACCCGAAGTTCGTCTGGGGCAGGCTATCTCCGAATTCCAAGCCGATTGCTCATCGCGGGAGAAGGCGACGCTGCGGTCATACCAAGCCTCTGGCATCCCTCCAAGTGTCCGGGATGTGATGCAATTGACTGCGGAAATCAACCGATCGGCTGGCCTTCGAGGACAATGTTTCGGCTCACGGCTCACGAGCATTCTTCAGTCGGTGCAGGAGTTCGCTGCACTCGGGGACATCGTTCTGGGCGCATCGCAGAGCCTCCTAGCCTGTGGCATCTGGGCTGTGGTACGAATGTCGCTTCTGGTAAGTATTCTGCAGCATGTATGTCGGTCGGTGGAAAGCCTCTCTGATAGGGTGTTCAGTCCATTGTCAAATACTCGACCTACTTTAAACAACTATCGTCCATGCTCATGGCCGTGGGCCGCTCTGCACCTCGCTATCAACTAATGGGCGCCGTCTATCCTACATCGCAACGTCTCAGAACATCAATGCTGGAATATTTCATTGTTGTCGTGCAATTATGCCATCACGCTATGAAACTGAGTCGGAAGACGGCTATAGGCCAGTGGGTTTCTACGTTCACGTCTGCTCTGAAAGGCTACCAATCTGACCTGGAGATCTGGGCTACCGCCATCAAAGAAGAAGTGAACCTACAGATGGTTCAGCAACTATCCCTGGTGGCCGAAGACAGTTCATGGTTTAGATCTCGGGTCGCGAGACGCTTTGAATCTCAATCCCACGCAAGGAGGCTTAGAGCGCGCCAGCGCGTACTGGATGCGTGCTCCACCTACGACTACGAACAGGACTGGAAGCGGATCCGCAAGCTCGGTGCTACCACTCTCTTGGAGACCTCAATGGTCTATAAGCAGTGGAAGGCCCCACGAGGTTCTGAAGGGCTGCAGTCGCGTACACTCGTATGTACAGGCAAGCTAGGATCGGGAAAATCCGTGATTCTCGCCAATATGGTGGATGACTTGAACTTGGATTCGGAAAGGAAAGCAGTGGTGGCGTATTTCTTCTGCCAACACGATTCGACGCAGAGCTTAACGCCGAAAACAGTTATAGGCTCTCTAGCGCGACAGCTGCTGCAATCAGAAAGCGATCTCGACTCCGCACGGGATGTCCTGGGAGACAAACAATCACTCGAGGTTGACGGAATTCTTACTTTACTAAGACATCTGCTACCGCCGCACTTCGAGGCCCTTTTCGTACTTGATGGCCTTATGCATTGCGACGGAAAAGTGCGACAGGTTATTCTGGAGTCTTTACAGGAGATCCAAAAATTGATCAAGCTTGCATTGTGCGTGTCTGTCAGGCCGGAGCCTGCCGATTCTCTGCAAGAACTCAAACAACTTCAAAATCAGCGATGTTGGTCCGTGACAGCCAACAAATCTGACATAGATGCCTTCATCAACGCCGAACTAGAGAGATGTCTTGAATCTGGGAAGCTCATAATACACGACCCTGCCCTTGTCCTCGACGTTCGAGATAGCCTCTCCCGAGGAGCGGAGGGCATGTTCTTGTGGGTGGCTCTGCAGATAGAAGCTCTGTGTCTTGAGAGGACAGACGCAGATATACGAGAGGCAATTGCCAATCTGCCTAAAGATCCTTCAGCGTTATACACGATGATACTGGAAAGGTCTAGCCTTTCCGGGACCACGTATCAATCCAAGATTTTGGATCTGGTTGCGACCGCGTGCAGGCCACTGACCACAGAGGAAATGAGAGAAGCCCTTAGTGTCATCCCCTGGAAGACCTTCTGGGACCCCGCAAGGATACTCAATGACATACATTCCACGTTGGCTTGTTGTGGGGGTCTACTTACTGTAGATGAAGAAGACTGGAGTATTCGCATGGTGCACCATAGTGTGAGAACATTTCTTTATGATCACCGTAAAAGCCATCGCGGTTTGATGCCTGCAGGTCAAACCATGGCAGAGACTATTGCGACATACCTGAGCTACGAAAACTTCCACAAGCAATTGTCAGCGGTTAAGACACCTAAAATCAGCTCTATCTCGGTGACAACGGCAGTGATCCATTCAGCAGTTTCCTCTCGTGGCCAATCCCAAGGAATTGCGTTGAAGCTGCTGAAAATGAAGAGGAGTAAGGATACGGAAGTCGGTTATAGTCTATTGCAACGCCTGCAAGCCTCCAGGGCAAGTGACGCCGTGCCCTGGGCCTTTTACCAATATGCAGTGGCCTGGTGGCAGGAGCATATCTGGTATCTAGACCTCAACACGCCACACCTAAATAAACTCCTGATGACCATATTAGACACCCATGGCTATGACAAACCTGACTCCTCTGGACAGACACCGTTGTCACATGCCTGTCAGCGCGGGAGTCTGGTGCTTGTTGACTGGCTCCTCGCCCGTGGTGCTCGGCATACCGACGACCTTTTCGGACATTCCCCGCTCTTCTGGGCCATCAATGGGAGACATATCGCTGTTGTTGAGTCCCTGTTGCAGAGCGATATTGTGGATCCTAATGTGGTAGGTCCGTCAGGAAAGTCACCTCTCACATCTGCAATACTCATGAGAGATGTCGAAATGACCAAATGCTTTCTTGGCTGTGACCGGGTAAATCGGAACCAAAGGGATTCCGACGGCTATACCCCCCTAATAGCCGCTACGCTCCTCAACTTTGTGCAAGCGATCCCAATGTTTCTGTCGGGCCCGCACACCGATATTATTGCCATGGCTCCATCCGGAGACTCGGCCCTTCATCTGGCTGCCGCAAACAAGGGCCATGCAAAAATATTTCATCTTCTTCTCGAACAGGCGCGGTTAGAGGAGAAAGGCTCTCATGCCGTGTCAATGGGCAACAAGAACGGGGAGACCCCTTTATGGCTAGCAGCCGCTAATGGGCACATGGAAGTTGTCCAGTCAATCTGCCAACATCAGGACTATGAGCTGGACGTGCCTGACGCTCGTGGGGAAACGCCATTTTGTGTTGCAGCCTTGAAAGGCTATACAGACATTGTCAAATACCTGGGGAGCTCGGACCGAGTGAATATTAATCATCTCAACAAGGCTGGTCTTTCGGCACTGTGCGGAGCGGTATTGAACGGTCACGAAGACGTCATCCAAGCTATGATAACAATGGAAAATCTAGACCCGAACCACAGCGGAGTTGGAGCAGACACCCCTTTAGAAGCAGCCATCCATCTCGGCAACGATAGTATCGTCAGGTTATTGGTTGCAATCGCAAGAACTGACGTCGATCGGCAAAGCCACGATGGCACGACTCTTCTGCAGCGAGCTGTTGAGGAAGGATATGACGAAATTGTGGCAATACTCGTCTCTACCGGTCGGGTCCTTCTTAATCGGAGGGATCATCAAGGCGTAACACCACTCTGGGCGGCTGCGGACGGTGGTAACAGTGGCGTTGTCAAGGTCTTAGCTAATACGAAGGGGGTCGATCTGAACTTCCCAGGCAGTTACGGCATGACAGCGCTCTGGGTAGCGGCATCCAAGGGGCACGTGGAAGTAGTCCAGATCCTGATCTCCGCCGATCAGGTGAATCTCAATAGCAAGGGCTATAACGGTACAACGCCGCTGTGGGTCGCTGTGAACAATGGCCATACTGAGGTTGTCAGTATCCTGGCAAGCACTCATGGGGTTGATGTGGACTGCCCTGATTATACGGGATATACGCCGCTCTTGAAGGCTGCAGAAAATGGCCACAGCGATATCGTTCAAACTCTAGTAGCTACTAGACGAGTGAATATCAATAGGGGACATCCTAATGCTGCAACACCCCTGTCGACAGCCGTTAAGCGCCGGCATGACGCCGTTGTCAAGATTCTGATCGACAGCGGTGCGGATGTGAATCATATTCCGATTGCATCCTATTCCCGCGGAACTCCTCTTTGGAATGCCTCGTATAGTGGGAGCTCAAGTCTCGTGCAGATGCTGGTAGCTTGCCCTGGCATCCAGCTCAACCAGCGCGATAGAGAGGGGTATACTCCGCTAGGGATTGCGGCGAAGATGGGCCATGCGAGCATTGTGGCCATTTTGGCCAGTACTCCAGAGGTGGAACTGTTTCAAGTGGATAGAAATCGCCAAAGCGCCTTGGAGATTGCACAGCAGGCCGGCCATGAAGCTGTGGTCAATGTGCTCAAGGCAGTAGATCAAACATAAGTGTTGGGATAACGCCTGAGATTGTTTAATCGGGTACCCTTGCCATATGGCCAATCTGCAAGACTACAAGTTGGATCACCGTGACTGAATGTCAAAATGAACGCCGCCAAGTCACGCCTTGATCGGAATTGGGAATGAGAAATCAACTAGATATCGTTTTCGTGATGCAGCAATGCAATTGTGGCCTAGTTACTGGGTAATAATGCATACCGGGTTTTATTAGGCCATCATAATAACCGATCTTCATGACTACTGTACACAATTGATCTCTTAGCCCTAGTCTATTGGGCAGCCGCTGGCGCCGGACTGCCCGAGCTAGGCGGTGACCGCACGCCAGCCTTGGGCGGAGGCGGTAGCGGCGTTCCCCTGCGGGATGGCGCAAAGTCCTGCTCCTTGCTCTTCTGCTCGCCCTCCGCAAAGTAGTCATCAAACGAAACTGCCGCAGCTGACCCGGTATGACGCGTCTTATGCCGCCGACCCGCAGACGAGTGACTAGCGGGCGACGCCGCCAGATTCCTAGGAGGTCCCGACAACGGCGGAGGGGAGGTCATATTAGCCGGGACGAGGAAATGCCCAGATGGCGGAGGTCCCTGACCCAGAGCTTCCACTACCGGCGCGGATGAGCCGTCATCCCGTGTCTCGAAGACCACCTCGCCGGGTCCCTCGACTTCCTCGCCCAACCCTACTGGCAACCGGTGTAGTGCTCCGAAGCCCAATTCCGCACCTAGCGCTCCCTCACCTCCCCAGCCCCGTGTAGGCACCAGCTCAACCTCGCGCACCACGTCAAACTCGCTGTTGTATACCCATAGGACTAGTGTGCGGTTCAAGTGGTCTTCGACGAGTTCCCCGAGTGCTGATTCCCCACGTAATGTCCCGCTCGGAGTGCCGATGATGTAGTCGGAGTGTGGAAGGAGACCTGCGCGGTAGGCGGGGCTGAGTGGAGATGGGATCGAGAGGACGTGCCAGATGTTTTGGGTGGAGGAGAGGGGGGCTAGTTGGAGGGCCAGACCCAGGTCGGGGTTGGATGCGGGGACGGGGATGGAGACGGTGTGTGTTTTTTGACCCTATATGATGGGATTAGTCGAGTACAGAGGAGGTTATTGGGTTTGTTTGTACCTTGGCACTCCAGACTTCAAAGGTCACGCTGGATCCGGCGCAGTTGCGCACTTCCGTAGCGAAGAGGTTGGGGTCGGGGTCCTCCTAATAGGTAGTTAGTCCAGCCGGCGCATAGAGACAGCCCTGTCTGAGGAGTCAAGTCTACTCACTATTAACCGCCCATTAATCCCGACAATGAAATCGAACCACGGCTCCAGAGGGAGCTCCGCATCCTTGTTGCGGAGGACTTGGAACCCAAACGAGTTGTCGCTGGTGCTTTGAGCCCGCGCCTGTCGGGTAGGCTCGGCATCCAAGCCAATAAACCGATTAAGAGCCCCGAACATGTCTGCTGCGAGGAAGGAGGTATGTGTTGTGTGGGGAGCGAGGATTAGAGCATTGGGCAGTGCGGAGGAAAGCCAGATGCGCAACGTGGAGAGCTGCCCGGCGCTGCAAACATTGCAAACACCGGTTATCGCTTATCGCAATGGCTGATAATCGTCGCGATGCGATTGCGCTCCGCCTTTAGCTTCAGTCCTTGATCAACTCTCATTTATACTGCGATCATGGCTCGAGACCCTACCGTGGAGGTTCCTCCGGAGGAAGTACATCATTATAATGATCTTGGCGAGGTGCCGTGGGATATTCAGAAGTAATACCATCATCCCTCGTACATGTGTTGCGGAACTGGAATCGACTAACACTGCGGAACAGCTACTGGGCGCAACGCTACAAGATCTTCTCCAAGTACGATGAGGGGGTCTGGCTGACAGATGATGCCTGGTTTGGAGTAACACCCGAGCCTGTGGCAAAGTATGTGTTCTCTTTGTCATTGACAGGAGCTAAGCAACTAATACATTCATGCAGCAAAATAGCAGAACACATGGCACAGTCCGCCCCCGCAGGACGCAGCATCCTGGTAGATGCATTTGCTGGGGCGGGCGGCAACTCCATCGCTTTCGCGCTGTCTGGTAGATGGAAGCGCGTCTACGCTATCGAGAAGAATCCCGCTGTCCTGCAGTGCGCCAAACACAACGCCAAGATCTACGGCGTGGCGGACAAGATCACCTGGTTTGAGGGTGATTGTTTTGAGATTATCAAGAATCAGCTGAAGGATTTGGCGCTGTACAGTGTCTTGTTTGCAAGTCCGCCATGGGGTGGTATGTGCCCATAGTTTCCCCTTACACCCTTTAGGTTTCTTGTAAGCCAGCTGATCCGTTATAGGCCCCGGGTATCGCTCCGACACGGTGTTTAACCTGAGTACCATGGAGCCGTATTCCCTCGCAAAGCTTTACAATGAATATTCTATGTTCACAGAACACATGGTTCTCTATCTTCCTCGGACATCGGACGTCAAGCAGATGGCGAAGATTGTCAAGGAGGGTCAAAAGTCAGTGGTGATGCATTACTGCATGGAAGGTGCTAGCAAGGCGTTGTGCGTTTACTATGGTGGATTTAACCTTGAATGACGCTGTTCACATAATCTTCTTTTCTTTCTTTTCTGTTCCATATATTCCTGTCTCGTTTCATCCTTGTATCGGACAACCTTTCGAACATTGCCTGGAGTCCTCGGATATCGTTACGTGTACACTATCATCGCCAGTATCACTGTCATACCCCATTATCTTCCTGAATTCGCCAGTCTGCTGGTCTTGACTATGCTAATGCAGTACTCTCTGTATGCTACATGCGTTTCCAATCTCATGGCTCCAGGTTATGGGGATAATGTATCCGTTCCTTGCACAAGCAGTTCCTCTTCTTCTGCTCCCCTTTCATCACCACCAGACCTGATACGCATGTTCCATTGCGCCTGGACTGCCATACTATGAAGTTCATGAAGTAAAAATTCAGCGTGCTGTACGTATTGTCTCCGATGCTTTTGGTTGATATGGTCGTTGTTCATGGCTTCACTCAGCCGCTCTGCTGCCTTGTGCGTGTAAAGTTCCATGCGGTCCTGACTCCTCAACCAATGCCGAGCTGCTAGATGCACCAGACGATGCATGGTTATGCACTTATCACCTGGTAGTATGGTAATGAATGAATAGGCACTTAGAAGCCCAAGTGCTTCAACCATCTTCTTTCTCGACACTGGTCGTGGAAGAAATGATTCCGGTATACTTTGATGACTTAGACAGGCCAAAAGTGAGAGGCACTCGGCAGCCAGCGAGTCAAGCTTCTCGATTTGACGAAACGAGGCAAACCAAGTCAGGTCTATTGGATTGTCAGAAGCCTCGTAGCTCCCATAATCTTCGAAAATCTCACTCAGAAGCTCCACGACGTCTCCTTCCTGCTCGTGGAGAAGCATCAGATAATCATACACTCCTATCCAATTTTCGTTCATATATGCGGTAGCTTGTGTAATAGCCTTTGGATGGAAGGCTAACTGCTTCACAAGATAGGCCACAGCATTCCTATCTTGAGCCAGATCTTGTTGGATTAAGGCTTTCTCCATTAGTTCCACTCCGACCACTTCATCAAGATCTCCCACACCTATCACATCACGCGATGCAAGCTTCACAGCTAATTTCCGGTTGCAAGTAGTGTAGATGATGCGGCCGCGTCTATTGGAGGGAAGGAAATCCCTGAGAGACGCAGTTGTACCGTTGCCGTTCATCCACATATCCATGTCATCGGCGCCATCGAAGATCAATACCCACTCCTCGCTCGCCTGGCATAGGTATTCTTTTGAGTCGTTCCTTCACCTCATCTGGCTTGGTATACTGGATCCCCAGCTGTTGCGCAATGGCTATACAAGCTTGCTCGATAGCTTCGTCACTGGTGCTTGGTATCCAGAATACTGAGCATTCAGCATCATGTTCGCGCATTAGATAGGCCAGCTCCAGCGCTATTTGCGTCTTACCAATACCTCCTAATCCTGTAATAGCGAGTCTTCTTGGTCCTTCCGGTGCCGAAAGTAAGCTCCATAAATGTTTGATTTTGTCTTTGCGACCCAGAAAGCGTGGATTTCTCGAAAACGGGACCATGAAGTGGTAAGTATTACTGGTGTCCAAGAGGCCTATGGAACGAGAGAGTCAGTAAGTACGAAGCACAACCAGGAGATCCTCAGTGTACTCACTTTCCTGTGCCTGAGACGTCCAGTGTTCTAAGAAAGCCTTTGCGGTGGAGGCGGCAGTCGCTGCAGCGTAGGCTTGCCATAATTTGTTTTTGTGGCTGTCCGCATAGTCGCAGACCCCCTTGATTATGATGCAGGGAACATTGTCCCATACTCCTGCTCCTTCCATCTCAAAACCGATCACCTTTTCCCTCTCGATGATCGCGTCACGATGTTGGGCAGATTTCATGACCATATCACCGGAAGCAACTCTTCCGATATGCGCAGAGACTTGGTCCAAATAAGAGGGCTGTCGACGACGTATGACTTGACTTTGGTCACATCCAAGATCATCACAGCTACTTCCCAGCGCATCATCACAGATCTGACTTGGGCGACTGCATAGAGTGCAGTCGCCATCATAATGAACATCCCTTTTGTTGTGCTTGTGTAGATATGCACTGTTAAAGAGGAAATCCTCAATACCTGGGTGGCACCACCCTTCCTCCATTCCCTGTAGTTGTTCGAAATATTGCGTTATCTGGGAATGGAATTTGGCACAAACAAGGGGTTTCCTCAGATCGTTTAAACGATATCGGATCTCTCGACTAGGTCTGCCTAGCGTGTCATTGACACCGGTCTTTCTTTGGAAACCCCCAGGGTACTGTCGGCCAAAGTCGTATTCGATCAGGGCGTCACTGATGACTACATCTCCAAGATATATATGCCTACCATTGGCTGTCGTTGGGGCACCTCCGCATATTCCAACAACCAGGGCCAGTTGAACATTGGTGTAGCTAACCCTCAAGCTTGAGGCGACACTAGCTGCACTACAATTTCCCATTCCTGGCATATAACAAAGAACCACATTGTGCTTACCAACCCTTCCATTGAGATATGCATTAACATCGCCTTTCTGCTTACCGTAGTATCTGCATAGTCGATCATATGTTTCATCAAAAAGCGCTTCGACGGCGTCTGCCTCTAAGGGAAGAGCGCAAATGATCGCGATTGTAAAATCGTCACGGCTTCTGGGGCGCATTTGGCCTCGATGGTAGAATTCAAGCCAGCACGCCCTATATCAAATACTCCAACCATGTAGTATATTATCCTTGTGAGGTCAGAAGTCCTTGTCTTTGTTTGTGGGGGACTGAGGACTGTGGCCTCAGCCTCGTTGTTGCATACACCAACCACAAGGCTGTATTAGGCGCCACGGGAGAGGGGGAAATTGGGGTTAATTTTGGCATCGAAAAAATCAATTTACAGGAGATTACTTATCAAATGAGAGATTTAGGGTCACTGGAATCGTTAAATGGAATATTCTTATTTGCTGGCGATTGTACCTGAACGCACTGCGTTGCGCCTTCATCCCTCGTATTCGGCGCAGCTTAGCCCGTATATCATATATCCTTCTCTCGGAACAAATGTTCAGGTGCCGTATTTACGCTCCCTGGCAGATAGATTCTGACTGCCATACCTTCAAGATATTCTTGGTCTGAGTGTAGGTTGTAATAACTTGACTGACAGGACTTATAACCGGCTTGGTAGCGTTTGTGTACAATCTATGGAATACTCAGGGACAGTACTCCACATCACCGGTCTCGCCACACCACTCGAAGTGAACAACATCAATAATCTTCCGCAAAGACACAGGGTTGAGCAAAGTAGAGGTGAGTGAGTCGCTTTTCTGTGCCTCTGTATCAGATTGAACCGCACCAACGAACCCCTTGATATGCATTTCCAGTAGTAGGTTGCAGGTAGACCTGACCACCACCGACACTTCGGATAGGTATATTTCACAAGATCTTTTGACTCAGTCGCCCGAAAACAGAGTACGCGGTAAATAGGGCCTTCAGCCAGCCAGTATAGGACTCGGACACCTCGAGACGGAAGTACTGTCTACCAGAGCAGTAGTTGCTACTCCAATCACCCGTAAGGACTGCTCCGTGAAGTGGAGTCTTCCATCCCGTTGCCTCACGCCTCCAATGAGATTGCCACAGTTTGTTTCGCCTCCTGCCGGACCACTTTACTCCTGCATGAGCATCGGGATTTTGCAAGTACGGGCGCCGGACTACTCCGGTTGACCCCGTGTTGCGGACCCCTGCTAGTTAACCTACTAATAAGGCGGACCCGTCAGGCAGAAAGCGCCGATAAAGGCAGCGCTCGAGCAAAGCCAAATTGATATTTAGTATAACTTCGGACTGCCATTACGACGCCCAGAATGGCCACACATCACGTGACCGCCTACCATCGGACCTACCATCAAAGGTATACTCAGGGTATACGGGAACCTCAGGGTCGACCATCGATCTACCCTGAATGGTGTATGACATGGTATACGAAAGATAGGATATATAAGGACACTCTTTCATGTACTTAGCTAGTTCTGTTCTTTGTGCTCAATAACACTGTCTTAAAGTAACCATACACTTGGAAGCCTAGCTACAGAACACTCGTCCGCACTTACGAATAGCTGCGCGGCACTATTCGGCCTTACTTCTCTTCTCTCGTCCAAGACCAGTTGTCCTTAGATAGTCATCGGCCTGATACCCCTCAACCCAGTTCAGCGGTACGTATACTAGTGAAGCTAAGCTGACAGGGACAGGGAAGCGATCCTAGGGTTTGACACCCTGGTGGTTTTGTTAGTATGGTGGAGAGGTGCAGGGATCTGAATCCTTGAAGCGGTGAGTACCTCACCTAATACCGCCTGCTTGATATAGCCACGCGTTGAAGTTGGAGCTCACAAACGCGTAAGATTTAACAAATTCTACTAATTCTTGATATTTTTTAAAGATGTCTTTTACTCCTGAATCTACCTCTTTAAAATTGATAAATTCAAAGTGTCTTGATTGTGATGACTGTATTTATATTTTTATTTTTTATAATATTAGCTTTAACTGCATCATGTACAAGAATCTAGCGCCCGTGCTGTGGCTGTGGTTAATTTACTCTTCGAAGCAAGAGAGGAACAGGTGAGTTGTGTGGCGCCGCTGATGGATACTTGGGTAGCCCTAAAGCTCCAGTGTGAGCGGATAGGTAGCTTTGTTGCTGCACAGACCGGACACTTGACCACTAGTCCTGCCAACTCCCAGAACTTCTCCTTATCCAGTTAGTGCAAGATACTTCTCCATTATTGAAGGCCAGTTACTCTGAACTAATCTGCTTGGAGGATCCTCAACCTGGTGGGGTCCTCAACTACGAAGGAATGCCATAGCAACAAGGCGAGCTGGGTGACAAGGAATATTTCCATTGGAGAAGGATGGGTTAGCCCCCCACCTTTCGCGCCTCAGGAGAGGATGCTATGCGCAGCTTTGACCCCAGAGATGCGACATGTATTAAGGGTACGCGCTCACTGGATGATGTCGGTAAGAAGGAAGAGGACAAAGAGAGTATCGTACAAAGTAAAAGTTATAAGAGGATGGCTCACAAACAAGCATACCCATGGTGACGGCCGCAGAGCTACTGAGTAGAGCCGCCTTGGATGGTGTGAAAGCTTGTTAATGGAACAAGTTACCGTTTATCTGGTCATTATGTGGACAATGATACAGGCAGCAATTATGTCCTTGCTAGAGGTAGGTAGTATTATATAATGTTTTTGACATTCGCTGTATCCAGGCATCATCTAGCTTCCTACAATGTCCTGCCTACATCACCTCTCTTCCTCAATTGTCTTGAATTTCTAGATACGTTCTACATACAAATCATTGAATCAACACCACTTCTGCTGCTCCATTCTGATGAAGGCTTTGAGATCAAAATGCCTGCGAAAGACTGTGGAGCCATTGCAGCTGTTACCGGCCCCGTTATGAAAGAAGGGGGTCAGCAACGAGAGCCGAAGTTGATATTACGATTGTGTTAGAGTTATGGTAACACGACGAAGCTGCTTCCTAGGAAAGACTTGGAAACCCTGCTGTTTCGGGACCATATGTATGCGGTGAGATGAAATATATATTCAACGCAAAGAGACAGTTAGCAACTGGCAAGCAACTGCATCATCTAAGTTGGGGGGACTTGAGCTGACCAAGGCACTAAATCCATGATAACTAATTAATCAAATCTTGCCTGCTATTTATTGGAGAGTTGCATGAAGGTGATGCGGATGCACCTCCATCCGGGACGAAGACGCGAGGTGGTAAAGGAGTAAAGGTTGCGATAGGAGGCGATGTACTGGCATAGATACCTAAGCTTCGTGGAGACCCTGACCGTAGTGAATACTGAATACATAGTGTGTTATCTCTTCGAGGCTGATAACTATTTATCCAGGTGGTGGGAGACACAGCCTCGTTGTTTCGTCCTCCAACCACATGGCTGCAATAGGCGCCGCAGGAGAGGGGTATATTTCGGGCTCGATGCTGGAATTGCAATGATCTTTAGCCGGCCACTGGTTAGTCATTAGATGGGCAATATTAGACAGCTAATTACCTCAGCCCACTGAACCATTGGAATAACTGACCTGCGAGAGGCCGTAGCTGGAAGCGCTGCGTAGCGCCTTTATCCCCGCCTTGGATGCAGCTGAGGGTGTATATACTCCCCTTTGTCGAACAGGCTCGGAAACAAGATGCGCCTTCCTGATCCCAGGGAGAAGGAGCAAAAAAGAACCAATCTGGCACAGTGTAAGAACAAATCCTGTTTCTGAGTAGGATATGAGGGCTTTTGAAACCATGCCATATATATATATAGGACTTATCAACACATGCTGGGTTCCCCGTATCTCGGATCCATAAGTACTGCTAGAAGTAGTCGACTACTAATTAAAGAATGTAAAACAGATCAAAAGAAGTTACTCGTGTATATCTCAACTAGCCATTATCCGAAGACTCAGACTCAGAAACCTCGCCAGATTGCCTGAACAATACCCATTGCTGAACCCGGGACCATGGAACACTGAATAGAGTCAAATCCCGCATCAGCCTGCTTGAACAATGCAACCCAGTCTTCTTCGTCTCTGAGACGCGATTTGTATACTCCAAGCATCAACAGATCTATCCATCTGATATATCTCTCCATAGCTAATGGCAGCGATCCACTTTCAGGGCAAAGACTCTCGTTCACCAGTACCTTGGCACCCGGTCGCAAGGAAGGTACCAGCTGTTGCAGGATCTGCACAACATACTCGTCTGCCCAGTTCATAAGCACCCAGCGAAAAAGGTAGACATCGGCGACGACTGTCTGAGGGGAGAAAAAGTCATGGACGTCGAACCGGATGTTGCGGTCTTCCTTTGCCGCGGCTTGGAAGTCTGCCGCGGCATATTCGAGATCCTGAACGACAACATTAATGTGCTGATAATGCTGCGCAATGAGCCGGCCAACGTGGCCGTCGCTTCCTCCCACATCTACCACAACCGATCCCCGTGGAAGGTCGCCCCAAGGATACCCTTGAAGAAGAAAGCTGGGAGACGCTTCGGGTATGGCAACCGTATAGAACTGCATCGCATCAGCGAACTGCTTTGCTTTGGCCGGTCGGTCGCTGAGATAATCGAAAATACTTTGATTTCCATGGCTCAAGGCATATCCCTGACAGGTCCGGGTTAGTTGAGTCATTGCCTAAGCCAGTGTACACGGGACATACGGTCTCGTTTGGCTTATGCCCCGGAAACTGATCCATCGCGTCGACAGTCTTCATATGCAGCTTAGTAAGATACACAAAATGAGGATAGGTAGGGAGAGAGCTCACTCGTGAAAAGGCGCTGTACCATTCATCGAGCTGTAATACACCAGCAACCGCACCGGGGTTCTCTTGAAGAGAGCGTGAGCCAGCTGAATGAGAGACATAACCCTTTCGTTTCTCCACAAATAGTCGGTGGTGGATAATTGCAAAAAGGATATATTGTTTCAACTCATTGACCGGAACACCTGATGCCCGGGCGAGGTCCTGGTAGGATATTTCCCCGTGCATCGGGACATGATTCGCAATGTGATGTCGGGAAATAGCCTGCAAACTTGCACCATTCCACTATGACTTGTATCAACAATGGTCTTTGGCTATCTCGTCTACTATCGTGCTTTTCTGGTTTATGGCAGCGGATTTGAGATATTGCCAACTTACCAATGGTATCATGCATTTCGACGGACCTTGCAATTGGTCCAGCAACTCCATACATGCGTCTATAGCGTCGGCCTTTGCTGCCAGTACTTCTTTGCTTCCAGATCCAACAGCAGAGGCTTCCGGTAAGTCGCTCCTTTCCGTGAGCGATACCTCGAGGGTAACTACAGCACGGGAAATGATGGACGCCAACCGTCCAATCTCAGACGTCATTATTGCTGGATTTTGTTCGCGCGAGGTATTAATGTGTATGTTGTAAGCATGTAGTGTCTGACCAGGTTCATACTGTAAGAAGATGTATGCATCGCTATAAGTACTGGAGTAATGAACTTAACGATCGTCGGGATTGGTATGCGTAGGTAGGCTCATGCAAGCCGAACAAGGCCGGTCAGTATTGGGCTGCGACAGGGGATGAGGCGCATTGTTTGTGGCTTACTGTCACTAGTTCAGACTGGTGGGGGTTGTGGTTCTTTGTTTGTCTGCTCAGATTAGTCTCTGTACGACGGAGTGTACTGCTGCCCGAAAGCCAATCATTTCTCATCACTCTACATTGGTCTCATACTACTACCGTCCAACAGGGTCGGTATGTCCTACTTTGAGATCCCGTAGCCGTGTTGGCCTTTCTGACCTGGTCAGCTTGGGCTGAGATGAACAGTTAAATACCTCCATCAACCGTGCAATTTTCTCTTGTTTCCCAGCAGCGCCATTTACCCTTTTTTTTGTTTTTTTTTTTTCACCATATATTTGTGATCCACGTACTCCAATTCCTCACACTCAACCTCCTCATCCATTCTCGGATTCCAACCATGCCTGACACCTACGATTACATCATTGTCGGTGGAGGTCTCACGGGCTGTGCTTTGGCCGGTCGTTTGGCTGAGAAAGATGAGTCACTTCGAATCTTGATCATCGAAGCTGGACCCAACGTGGTCGATCACCCTCTGACGAGCACTCCTCTGGCATGCTTTGCATCCCACCACTCCCCCTTGGACTGGGACTACACCACCGTGCCGCAGAAACATCTCAACAACCGCGAATGCTATAACGCCGCGGGCAAAGCACTGGGCGGAGGCACAGCGATAAATTATGGGACCTGGACCCGTGGAAACGCTGCTGATTACAACCTGTGGGCAAACCTGGTTGGGGACTCCAGCTGGAGCTACGATGGTCTACTCCCATACTTCAAACGTGTTGAGACACACTACGATCCCAACGCCGACCCGGCCATTCACGGCACCAGCGGCCCCATCACCAACACAATTGTCGCTCTGACCAGCCCCGACCGCAAATACCCCCTCAAGGAACCGGTCCGTTCTGCTTGGGAGCGAATTGGGGTTGAGTTCAATCCCGATGCCAATGCCGGTAATGCGCTCGGCTTAGCCCACTTCGGAGAAAACTGGCGTGACGGACAACGTCAGCTTGCCAGCGAAGCATACGGGTTGTCTAGACACCAGGGAATATCCATCGTTACTGAGACCCTGGTGGAGAAAGTGTTGCTCAAGGACCAAGCTGGCCAGCAAGTTGCGACAGGAGTTGCAGTGGTCGGTGGACAGGAATACCGGGCCTCAAGAGAAGTCATCATCTCGGCCGGAACGTACCGTACCCCGCAGGTTCTCATGCTCTCCGGGATTGGACCCGCAGAAGAGCTGGCAAAACACAACATCCCACAGCTTGTAAACGCTCCGGAAGTGGGTTATAACTTCCATGACCACATGTGCTTTCCCCAGTGGTGGAAGCTTCGTCACCCTGAACGAGGTCTCTCTATGGGTACGCCCCTTTGGGACAGTCCAGCATATGGGATGGGTGTGCCCTATGACTGGAACGTGACCCTGCAGACTCCTGCGGACGCGTTGATCCAGGCATTCCAAGAAGATGATGGACAAGCGCCTAGCAAGGACCATCCATTTTTGGATCCGAAATTTGCTCATTCAGAGATTCTCGTCATCTACGCACCGATGAGTCAAGCTGTCACCGGTTTTGAGACGGCCATGGATGGCACTCATATCAGTACGGCTGTTCTCTTGATGACCCCGACAGCACGCGGGAAGATTACCATTGCGGATGCGAATCCAGCAAGCGCTCCTGTCATTGATCCGAACTATTGCTCTAAGGCGGTGGACCGAGCGATTATCCGAGATGGAATACGCAGAGTGGCCAAGCTCCTGCTCGACACTCCCGAAGGTCACGATATTGTGGATACCGAGGTTCCTCGACCGGGCAATGAGCCGATTCGACTTGATTCCACCGATGAGGAAATTGACAGGAACATCAGAAATGGCGCAATTACTTTCTTTCATCCAGGTGGCTCGGCATCCATGGGGAAGGTTGTAGACACTCAACTTCGAGTGAAGGGCGTCAAGGGGCTACGTGTTGCAGATGCAAGTGTGGTGCCTGTCCCTCTTGTGGCGCACTACCAGGCTATTCTCTACGCAATGGCAGAGAAGGCGGCGGATCTACTCTTAGAATAGGTCATGTTGTGTTGTGTAGAGAGTTTTCAGATAGGAATATGAACGAGATTGAATTTGCTTTTGTGCTTTTATGTCGAATGTTCCTATTAGTTCACGAATTATGTAGTGACTGTTGGCAACAGGACCACCGTGCTCGTCCTAGCAAACTATGCCGCAGCCACTAAGCTACATAAGAAATCCTCCCAACCTACTTACACTTCCACCTTGCGCTTCTATCCCATTTCTCATTATATCCGATCGTCCTAGCCATGCAAGATTCACGGTACACATCTCTCTCCACGACAGAAGACTACCAGCCTCAATCAGGTGTCTTCCACAAGCCGTCTCGTTGGGAGGTCCACAGGAAGCGTACGTATTTGCTTCTAGCAGCTGCCGGACTTTTGTACATCTACCCGTTCATCCATACGGTGCAGAGCTTGCTCCTTTCGGACTCAGCACCAAGTGCCTTTGGTATGTACTCATACGCTCATCCCTTCATTACAGAAGGCCCAATATGATTAAGAAGTAATTAATATACGTCCAGCTCAAGTCGACGTCTTACGCACCACTTGGAAGGAATTCCATTGGAACACGGAGTACAGTCCCCAGAACCACAGCGACGCCGACCAACTGTGGGCGGCTATCAACCCTGCCCATGGCATCATTGCAGTGGATCGTCAATGGGCCGCGCAAAACCATTGGCCTCAATCGATGACTATGCCGGATGACGACTCAAAAGGGGTCTATTTGTTGGAGGCGTACCATCAGCTTCACTGCCTTGTGAGTCTCCGATTTCCTAATTCCAATGTTGTCTTTTTCCATCGAGACGTTTGGTGTTTGGTGGAGCTAATGATGTTCCCCTGCGGGGTTGGGCAGCAAATGCTCCGTTTGACCTTCTGGGAAGCTGTCGAAAGACGACCCTATACTCATCATCCATCGAATCACATGGAACATTGCTTTGATTATCTGCGTCAGGTGAGTCCACTCCGGTCTAGACCTCCTCGGGGACTCCTTCTGCCCCGACACTACTCGCAAGAACATGGTGCAACTAACACAGGGCCCGAGTGGCTTGTCGAGGGCCTAGATTGTTCAGTGTAACGCCGACAACACTCCACTGTTCACGTTTGGGGAGTTCCGGGCTGGTGATGGGCAGCTTCATCGATGCCGGGACTGGGATCAGCTGCATGACTATGCTACTGAGAAATCTGCCTGTTACCGAGATAGCGTAGCGGGTATCCCGCTTAAGGAGCATTTTGGGTATTGTGAAAGCGCGGGGATGGATGGGTTGGAGGCTAACGCGTTCCATGGTTGAACTGGGGACCCTGGCGAACCCAAGAACATGTGCGCCTGTCTCCTACTTCCTCGACATAGCTAGGACACACCATGTCCTTGTATTTTGTTCTTTCGTTCTTTTCATTCTTTTTTGCCTTTGTTCGAATTATCTCTTTGTTTCCCTCTTCCGTCCTGGTGTGCAAATCCAGCACATCCTTTGCGGTTCCCCCGATCGGCGTTGTCGAGCCCCTGTGACAAGAAAATCCTGGAAGTATTGTTTGCTAAATCAGTCGATATGAAGGCTCATCCATGTAGTGTAGTCCAGACCTACTATGCTTGGAAGTAAGGGTATCTGTACGGCAAGACCAATTCTAAATGGGAGGTTCACCTCCTGCACCCGTCCGCCGCGGTGCATGAGTCGCGTGTATCCTAGAGCAGTTGAGAAGCCGAAATTTTGGTAAGGGGCTTATCGCCCTTTCAGCTCCCATAAACCAAACTGGATCACAATTCGCTATACTTGGCAAGCGGCGTAATTCACGCTGGGGAGTCCAGGGGTGCGAAACAGCCAACATTGGCTAGGCAAGAGTGAGGGGTAAGTAAGTGTTTGCCGACTAAAGACTTTGCTGTGGTGGCTTCCCTGGCGTCTCTCAGCCCCCCCACCCTCCATTTGTCACTATTGCATGCGATGTGATATGAACCTGCATTGAACGTTAGAAGGTGGGGGTTAGCTTTTCTTGTGGTAAGCTGAGACGCTTGGACGTGCACACCCGTGGATCGACGATTGGGGCGGTTCCACAACGCCTCCCACCAGGGGGGCTGAAAGTGCTGATGTGCAGCGCAATCAGCTATCTGTTGGCCGCGAACGCAGCACAGCATTTGCGCAGGGTCGATACTCACTACCCGGAAAGAGTGGGCGATACCCCACCCCCGGCCCTGATCTCTTGACTTCTCGGAAGCAAACCGGATGTTGTAGCCGCCAATGCGTCTGCGGTGTCGGGTTCTTGGCATCTCTTAGCATCATGGCCGTTAATAGCGCGGGTGGCCCGAAAACACAGAATCCGACGATGTCTTGGGTTGTCGATGTTTGCCTCGCCAATTTTCAAGTGACAGATTAGCAAGGCACACTGCAGCCCCCGGCCCCATTCTATTCCAGAGCTGATGTATGCATGTCATGACCGAGATGTTTGTTGACCGAGCATAGCCGTGGAGAAATAAGCCTCAACTGCGTTGTCAGCTAGACGATCAAGTCCATGTATACTACTGTCGATGGGATTCCAGCATAGGGTGCAAGGGACTTGGCATGCAATTCATTGAATCCCGATGATTGGACCTCTCCGTGTCAACCATGTTTGACATCCCCAGATACTAAGTTTGGAATCTGGTGATGGGCGAAATGTCTTCCAGGGATTGTTCGTGGGGTATATGCTATACGACTTCGGGGCTCCTTCTCGGTGAAACATCATTGATTCTCCTAGTTTCATTTCGGTGATCATTTCACTAGTCATACTGGAGCAGAGGAGCCGTCAAAGATACCGTCAAAGATATTGGTGGACGTAGATCAGTGACGGATACAAGATCCTCAGAAATACTCATGGTAATATAAAGGCCCGATGAATATGACGTGCTTTACAAATGCAAAGATACATATGATACCTGGAAGCTACAACATATTACTCACGTCTTAACTGTTTCTTTCCAAATTAAGGCGGCAAGGACTTCACTATTGGAAGAACTACAGAGTATCTGCTCGGGAAGCTACCGAAGAGGACAAAGCACAAGGATAATACGCCTTGCTGTTACTGGCTGTGTTCATTCAGACAATCTCCATCAACCTAAACCACAGACGATCCACTAGACGAAAGCACGCGGTACATTCCCAATATCATCTTCCCTCATCTGCTTGAACCCTTGTCATTTTCCCTCAGAATACATCTCAGTAGGCATCACCAACACTGTCGAAGTCGGCATTCGCATCTCTCTGTTCTGAACATTTTCTGTCAGCGTTTCCCATCATCTGCAATAGGAGCAGATATATTATACCGTTGGAAGAAGGGGAGGCAATGGCAACAGAGGCCAGACCCAGGATGAGAAACGAAATAATAGCTTTGAACTGCATGTTGAGATATAAAGGTAGCTAGGCAGATTGCACTTGGGAGGTTCGTTTATGTTTGAAGACTGGAATAGACTCTGAATTGAGGTTGAGAAATTGGATGATGCACGAAAAGTGAAGGAAAGGGGTGGATTTAGGCAGACTTTATACCTTTCGCTGCTCTTTTATCTCTCGGCATGACACTAACGATCAAAACTCCCAGGGCAAGGTGAATGAGCGACGGGTTTGCTCGGACTTGTTCCCTCAACCACCCTGACCGATTTAGAGACAGATGTTTCTATCAGTCAGAATCTCAAGCCCTTCAAGCAGTGGGGTCATATCTAGCAGGTTAGTTGACAGGGACATGGTTATGAGCTCGGTAAAGCGGCTTAGAAGCCATTGCTCCGATGCCAGCTGCATGCAATCTTGCCCCCTCTGATGCAATGCCCGAGTTGGCGTACCTAAAGCTACATCCCTGTGGACACAACAGCGTCTGGGCGCAGAGAAACGCGATAATAATAGGTATTCTGGATGTGGGTGAGTTCCAGATGTTCGAAGAGCACCCATTCCCCCTCCCCGAAATGTCTGGGGCAAATATCTGCCCATCCCTAAGGCAATCTAAACTTGTTACGGACTCGACTGCGTAAATGATGATCGAGCGGCTTATACGGTATACATTAGAGGTGCGCCAGCTCTCTTCCTTGGTAAAAGATTCCCTGTCATTGTGCCTTCAACATTATTCTGAAATGGTCATCTGGTGTATGGGGAAGGGATATGTCTGGCTCTACGCCTATTCTAGGGTTAAGATCGTGAAGTTCCCACTTATTGCCTACTTCGACTCTAGTATATACATTCAAAATGGGAAGACTGGAGTAGTCCCATGCAGAACCAGCAATATCCAGAAAAAAAAATAAAAAAAAAAAAAAAAAAAAAAAAAAAACAACAACAACAACAACAACAACAACAACAACGCCCGCTGGGATGGAGCCGGTGTCCCCAGGATAGTAAGGATAGGATCTAGTGACGTGTTTCATATTGCACAGTACCTCATCATGGACAGTATTTGTTGGATTTAGTAAATTCATAGTATTTTCGTGATGAATCCGGCCAGCATAAAAGATGAATTCGTACACATTTCGTTGTCACAGTATACCAGGGTGACACAAAACAGCAACGACAAGAAAGGTACGGACGGCTTGTTCAGTATATGCTGTATCCTGCCGCAGCCCGCCCCCCCCCCCCCTCAATTATGCCAACGTTACAGTATGTTGTATGTCGTTCCGGACCAAGATCTGATTTGTGCTCTGTTTTGATGACCACGGCAATACGGGAACACCGCCCTGGATAAGAGACGACCGGTCATGTCCTGCCAAAGTTACCAGTGGTATCTCGTCCTGCCTTACATAATTGGTCTTGTTTGGTCGTGCCGCGCTATACTCCACTGATGGCGCCTGCCCATCATTGCCGGACCAGTTCGGACTCGCAGTGCTTTTCGTTCTGATGAGGGGCCCTAACAAAGGCAAACATGCTGCAACGATGCCGACGGATATTTCGACAAATGACCATATAGCCGCACCAACCGCCGTCCCTGCACAAAGGTGTCAGATATGGAGTGTGTGTGCTATGCATGGTATGTGTTCATCAATACTGACAAGTGGGATCGACGAGACTCAGTCGCGTCATTGCTACGGCGCGAATAATACCAAAGACGCAAACCCTGGACCATGCAGTTCACGATTAGTCAATATACCTTCCCAAAGCTTGACTATGTATGCCTTACACGCCTCCCAGTAAGAATATCCCCAGGACCTGCACTTTTTGAGCCTTTGGCATGTGAAGGTTGAGAACAGGCTTCACAGGCAAAGTTAGTATGGCCAAATCAGTGAATATATTGACGATACTAGATCACAAGTAGGTTAGGCATGAGTATCGACATCAAAATTGTTGATGGGGAAGAGAACTCACGCTAGTCCGGTGAAGGGGGGCTCTGTGTTTATACACGACAAGCCACCCGTCCAGAGATCTGACAGTGGAATACACTGAAGACCGGCGATAAGAATGACAGCCAGATTATACATCACAACTATAATGCCAATAATCCATGAGCAAGCCATAAGCCACCGAGATCGAAAGAGTCGACGATAGAATATTAGTATCGAAATCTTCGTCAACATGACGGTATATGAGTAGCTGACTATGGCAGCAACATATCCCTGTTCACTGATTCAACTGACCGAACTCAAAACGTTCTGGAGGCCATCCCACCTTGCTGAATGACACTAGGTCCTTGATGAAAATGATGTGTCTCCCTTGGCCATTATTTATTGCTTTTGCGAATATAACGCCGTATGTAATTTCGCCCAACTGCAGAAAAGTCAATATCTCGAATGCTTCACGCCTCAGCAAGTGCAAATCTCGAACCATCGCTGCGAATATGGTCCAATCTTCTGGGCCAAGTTGGACCCTCGAGATGCGCCGAGCCGTGATACGAGCGCCGATGGCGACGATGGCCGCTAGGAGCCCACATACGAGAGAGGCGGTCTCATTAGGTCGCAAATCATCGCCAGAATGCGCTTTGTAGAAGGCAACTTGCTCAGGAGTAAGAGCTGGCATTGTTTCCTATGATTGATCTGGCTTCTATAGCTAATGTGGCTGTATATTTGAGAGCGAGAATGGTGGAGGAAGGGACAATGTGACTTCGGAGAGGGATAAATATACCTTGTAGGCAAAGGCGAAGGAGAATGTGTTAAGTATGATACATATGGAGAACTCATGACAGGGAGCGCTTTTGAAATGGAGTAGTTATATCGGAAAATTGCATATCTAGCGCGGGTAGGAGCTTATGCAAGACTATGTGTGTTGCTGATAGGGGCAATGAAACTCGTCATTTCTACCGGGGTAGATTTGCATCAAGAAAGACTTGCTCGGGTCAGTCGTGGCTTTGCCATAGCCACTTTTTGCTTTTCTTCTCAAATCTATAACCTTGCAACGGTCATGTGTGAAAGTTCCAAATCAAAAACGGACACCCGCAGTAGGACATGTACTATGCCCGCACAGTGGTGTGGTAAGGCTGACAGCCAACGTTTCTCACCTACCTTCTGATTAGAGCCATGAAAGGGGTAAGGACATGAGGGAAGAATTTATAGATGTGATGACCATGTATGCAGCCGGGAAGAGGCTAGGTTTTTGGATAGCGATTTGTTGAATTAGATAAGACTCAATTAATGATTATGTTTCCGTTCGCTGTACTCTAGACGCTGCGTAGGCCATTAAGCCAACGGTCATACTTACCATCTAGAGAGTTTCGACGCCCAAGTCCGACTTCATTACTTCCAATTCCACCGATAATCGCCGAGTGAGTAGGACTATACTAAGATCAGATGTACACAGTAATGACTCTTCATGCACCTCGCTGCTTCTCTTAATCTAATGACGAAAACACCACGCGTGTCTTGCTTTCTCATCAACACTTTAGACACGACCCCTGGTAGGGCACCGAAATGATATCAGTCCTAACGGAATAGAGTGGCCTTAACCCCGGTATTGCCATTTACGGATCGAAGGTGCACACATATGTTGGAAGGGTGTTTGAAAAGGTCAAAGACACTCACATAATGCACCTAAGGCATGAATCTAGCTATTAACCATACGCTTGATGCGTGCAACCACCAATTTACACCCATACATATTTGAAAGCCGTACATGATGTCGGGGGTAATTCTTCCTGGCCGGCTTAGGTTGGCTCTTCCAACTGCTTTACATGCGATAAAGCTCTTATATATTAAATATGCATTGGTCCGGATAAAACCAGGAAGCAAACCGGCAGAGGGCCAGTATTTTCGATCACGTCGTTAACTTCATATAGTCTCCGCCCCGTCATGGCATATGGCAGCAACAATGTCAGGGAGCAGGAGTGTGGAAGCTGGAGTCAGTGAAAATTCAACCAAAGGGGACATCCAGGGTAACCCTTGAATATCACCTACATAATCTCGCACCCCTGAAACGTACGGCAAATGAAGCGAGATGCTTTCTAATCAATGCAAGACGATTAGAGGATATGTCTCTGCATCTCCACAATGAGGAAACAAACCTAGAAGCATATGACGAGGGTTCAATGGGATGTTGAAGAAGTGGATGATTATCTTACATCTGAGTCATTACGTAACGAAGAGTAGAATGGAAGTGAGCCTGAAGAGATCCACTAAGTTTGGGAGTGGACCTATAAATCCTCGCCAACGGAATTTCTGCCGCACTATAAAGAATGCCGCTTCGGAAACCCGGATTTAGATCGGGGTTCACGTCGGCAATAGCGCTTTGAAATCGGCTTGCCGTTCACATACACAGACGAGCCGCCATTTCGGCCCGCGACATGTCCGAGGAGCGGAATTAGAGAACCGGGATTATGATTCTCGGTTTAAGGATTAATCAGTCTATTACAAATCCGTATTTCAGGACCCCGTCCTTCCGGGTTGGCTGGTTATAACCAGAGTATCCACTTTGATATGGAGCTTCCCGCGTGGCGAGACCCAAAGACCCTTGAATCCCGCTGTTTTATAATCATGACCGATCACTGACATTTGCTGAAGCGAAGAAACTCTGGCTGTGACTAGGGCTTCAAGTGTCTAACGGCATTACAGTGGGTGGGTCAAGGTTCTAGCATTAGGATTTTTTGAGGGCTTTTTCTAGAAGTCTCTCTATAGGTGGTAGACATGTAGCCCTCTTCAATGCCTGTATAAAGAGACAGGGTTTGTCTCTGATCGTAAAGTTGTTCATCACGTTAAATCATTGGGGACACTTCAATAAATTTCAACCCCTCCTGCATCTATCACCAAGATGCTTCTTTCCTCTCTTGCTCTCGCGGCCTTCTCGTTAGGCGCAGCGGCCAAAAGTCATGTCGACATACCCCCTCACTATGATTTTGTCATCGTCGGCGGAGGCACTAGTGGTTTGGTTGTTGCCAACAGACTTTCGGAACTGAAGAATTTCACTGTGGCCGTCATTGAGGCCGGTGAATCAGCATTGAACAACTTCAATGTGTCTAATGTCATGGGCTACAGCACGGCATTCGGGACGGAGGTGGACTGGGCCTACCAAACCGAGAACCAGACATATGCAGGAGGCTTGCAGCAGACTATCCGTGCCGGAAAGGCACTTGGAGGTACAAGCACAATCAATGGCAAGTCATCCTCTTCATTCCCTTACAAACACATGATACTTTGGTATTGACTAAATCTCCTACAATAGGAATGTCCTATACTCGGGCCGAAGACGTACAAATTGACAATTGGGAAGTGCTCGGGAACGAGGGTTGGAACTGGAAGAACCTGTTTCAATACTATAAGAAGTCGGAAGGCTTCCAGGTGCCCACTAAGGACCAGATCGCTCATGGTGCCAGCTACAATGCTAGCTATCACGGTTTGAACGGCCCTCTGAAGGTCGGCTGGCCTACTTCCATGACCAACAGCAGCGTCTTCTCAGTTCTCGAACAAACCTTTGAGAAACTCGGCGTTCAGTATAACCCCGATTCTGAAGGCGGCAAGATGGTCGGATTCACTGTCCACCCTGACACCCTGGACCAGGAGATGAACGTGCGCGAAGATGCTGCCAGGGCTTATTACTGGCCATATGAAGCCCGCTCGAACCTGAAGATCATCTCCAATACTCGTGCGAACAAGGTCATCTGGGCCAACTCCACCCAAGGAGAGGCTGTTGCCGTCGGCATTGAAGTTACTAACGCTTACGGCACGGAAACTATCTACGCTGACAAGGAGGTCATCCTGTCGGCCGGCGCGCTCAGATCCCCTGCCCTGCTCGAGTTGTCTGGTATCGGAAACCCTGACGTCCTCAATAAGCACAACATCCCCGTCAAGGTCAACATCACCACGGTCGGTGAAAACTTACAGGATCAGACTAACAACGCCCTTTCCTGGGAAGGTGTTGACACCCTCACTGGCTTGGCAACTTTCTCCGTCTTACCATCTGTGAACCAGCTCTACGGCGATAACGCCGCTGCTTTGGCTTCCTACGTCAAATCCCAGCTTGCTAGCTATGCTAAGACTGTCGCTGACGCCTCGAACGGCGCTGTCAAGAAGGCTAACCTCGTGGAGGCTTTCGAGCACCAGTACGACCTGATTTTCAAGTCCCAGGTCCCCTACGCGGAGGTTGTCTTTGCTCCCAGTGGGCAATCCTTCGCCGTTGAGTACTGGCCTCTTCTCCCCTTCTCCCGCGGCAGCGTACACATCCAATCCGCGAACGCCTCTGACTATCCTGCCATCAATCCCAACTACTTCATGTTCAGCCAAGATGCCGAGGCTCAGATTACGGTGGCGCAATACATTCGGAAGGCTTTGGGGACTGCACCTCTCAACAGCCTTGTAGGAGAGGAAGTTACTCCTGGCCTTGACGCGCTTCCCGCTGATGCTTCCAGTGCCACTTGGACCAAGTGGGTTCAGCAAAACTGTAAGCCTTTATGATTTACCCGAAACGGAAATCTGCAGCATGGTCGCTAACTTACCTATTCATCGCAGACCGAACAAACTACCACCCCGTCGGCACCACCAGCATGCTTCCCCGCGAGAAGGGTGGCGTTGTCAGTCCCGAGCTGAAGGTTTATGGCACCAAGAATCTTCGCATCGTCGATGCATCAGTCCTGCCATTCCAGCTCTGCGGCCATCTGACCAGCACTCTGTATGCTGTCGCTGAGAGGGCTTCCGATCTCATTAAGGAAAGTTACTAGCTTACAGATGATAAGCAGAGTGCCAGTTAGAAATTTCAGTCACAACAACAAACAGATATAGACGAGATTTTAGCACCAGTCCACAAACTGCAATCGGAAGATTCTTCCATCCTTGAGCGACTTTCAGTCCGGGGATACGGTCTGGGATGGGAAGATGATCCGACCCAGGCGGCTAAGTTAAAAGAATGTAGTGAACTAGCAACTACAGCTGAAGGGTGTCAAAGGATTAAATATCAATGCCTCCTGCGGCACATTCATAGAGAAATACTACAAGTCTGGTCTTCTGATAGTGATGTGTATTTATAGCGTAACCAGAAAGCGGCAATAAGGCCTGTAAAAATGCATATCATTAGATGCCTTCGGTGGCTAAGGACTAGGACCACTAGTAAAGATGTTTATGTTTCGTTGTATGTTTTCTCCTCAGTCTCTCTTTTCTGTTCTCTCCTTTTACTATATCCAATCATCTATTCAGTCGTACTTATACGCGACCTCCCACCACAACCGTTCACAGCTACCGCCAGATTGCTTTCTTTTCCAGTCTTGTGGTACATTGAGTAAAAAGCTCAACCATCATCATGGACTGGTCCTAGTATTGAAGATGGAAAAGCATTGGAATTTGAATATTTCGAATTATGGCTTCAGATAGATCGCAGGGAACTGTAGAAGCTAGTCAGATACGAAATACCAGCATCAGTTCTCCGATTGTAGGCCCAATGTGCTGCATCTCAGCCAGCCAAATTCTCTGAGAAATGTGTATATGATCATCCCCCTATCCACGAGAGTATTCAATGACTCAGCCCTGCATTCTCATCTACATAGAACCATGGCTCGGCTATCCTTATACTACAGAGTAATGCTGTAAACTTGTATTTGGATG